ATTTGATCCCCAATTATGAACTGGCAATTTTTTTTCGCCTTATAACCAAAAGTTTGTTTTTTACTTTATATCAAAGTAGTGCTGAATAAAATCGGTTATCAGTTTTCGAAAGGACCTTATAATACTGAAACAGTCTATTTTAGATATGTCTATATTAAATTCATTGTTGTGTCCTGCTTTTAAAGGATTAGTCTGAAAATTTTTAAATATCAGAATTTACTACAGTGTTATTTAAATTAGTAGAAAGCTTAAAGGTATTGAAGTGTTAATTATTAAACTTGCCTCATTTGTTATACATTTGAGACATCCCTGTATTAAAAATTTTTGTATAAAATATACTTTGTAATTAATTTTTTAATTAATTTTCCGATATAACATCTCAAAACAAATACTGCTTGGAAAAGGGATGAGAACGCAAAGTGGAAAAAACAAAACAAATTTTTGTTTTGACGAACTCTCTAGATTTTTAGAGATTAAGTTTTATTTACTCATTTATGAAATTTTTTTCACATCATTCATGAATTAAATTACGTCATTTTTTTGGTCCTGTTTACATCCAGGTTTAAATATCGAGAATAATATCAATTTTATAAATTTGTTTTTTATAATTGGCCATGTTTGGCATGGATAAAATTCAAAACTTGCATTTGAATCTTATAATTTGTATCGTAATGTCTCCTTTATTACTTTAGCTTTACGCCTATGTTTCCAATACTATTTCCACCATTTTCAAAAGTTCAGAGGTCAACGTGGAAGAGTTTGGTATCAGATTAGATAAAAGAATTCGAAATCAATATCACTATAATACATCTTAAGAATTTTGTTCTTCACTTATCCATAGCCTATCCGCCCGCCATTTCCGCCATCTCACTTACCACTTGCAACTTTCAATAATCAAAATCAGTTCATAACAGACAATCTGCTTTTTCACTTTTTTTTTCAGCTGCTATACTGTTACAAACAAAATGTGTTTTGAAAAGTACTCTTTCAAAAAGACACAGCTGTAAGTTCGTCTCTGGAACTGATCTTTATCCTCTACTACTTATTCTTCATGTCATCAGAAAATTTCTGTCAACTTTCTGCTTCACTCTTCAAAGGATTATTTTTTACCTGTCCAAAACGATGTATTTAAGGTGTTCTTACACTATCCATAGAAAAAGTGCTATTTCTTTCATATTTTATAGTTACGAAATAAGATGTCTAGTGAATAATGCGCTTATAGTATCTTTTTATAAGTAATGATATTATATTTGAACCAAAATACTTCAACGGATTATTTGCGTGAACTAAATTAGATCGTAAAATGTAGCAAATGCACCGAAAATTCTAGCATGCTTTCAATGGAAATTAAGCAATTTGCATAATTTATCGTCGGAATGAATTATTTAAGGGCATTTTTGATTTCAACATTAAATTCTAAGCATAAAAGAGGAATTGAGAAATCACTCGAAGGCATAAGGTAAGAGGGCGAAATGAAAGATGAATAATATGAATTGAACGTGATTATTTAGAATGATTTATTTAATTTTGATTTTTTTGTCGCATCTAACTAAATTTTGATTGTTAGAAAAAGAAAAACCAAGAAATTTCTCCAAAATGTTTTTCTTATTAAAAAGTGAGTAATGCAAAACTTACAAGACAATTTTACGAAAATTCGCACGAAGTATTTGCAATAATTTATTACTAAGTCTATTTTTGCTTGCTAATTGGTAAAAGAGCAGTCACTGTATGATATGTTTGGAGTAATGTTAGAACCAAACTAAAATCATTTCAAGTTCTGATTAAAATGGCTATAAAAACAAAAGAAAGAGCAGGAGGAGAGGGAAAAACAAAATATAACTTAGCAATAAACTAGTTTTTTCCAGTTAAGTTTTTTTTTTAAGTTTGCGAAAAAAAAAATTTTGATATTTCCTTCATAAATGCAATTTTTAATCATATTTACATCCTCCTCAAGATATTTTACATGGCAGAGTACCCTATATGCAGATGAAAAAGCAGTTGTAAAGCTAAAATTGATTTATTCATTCAAAGTAAAAAACTGGATCACACAATAGAATGAGTTGAAATTTTAAATCTTAAATCTATATGAATAAATCCCAATATACCAGTCATCCAGTTGACACTTGGCATTTATAGCGCTAAATTCGAGCTGTTACCTAAATTCAATTGAAATATATAAATTTCATAAATTTATACACATGGACAATTATGGATTTAATCTGCGCATTCAAATTCGTTGAAACACTTTGGATTCAAGAAAGAGTTCAAAATTTTAAAGCTATTCCATACCGTTCATTGAAATACTTAACGCCATATTTAAATTTGACATCGGTCTGAATATTTTTTTACAGTATCGTAACCACTGAAACAATTCGCATGACAAGAAATTCTAAACCACTGAAACAGTCAATTAAAAACTTTTGTGTGTAACACTTCACAATTAATCACTCTTAAACTGCTGCCGACGAGCTCTTCACTAAAATTTAAGGCAAAGTTCCAATTAAGAATCATTTATTGATGATGCATCTTTCTTTCATCCAATTCCGTGTCATCATCAGCTCTTGGCTCGACAATGATGAACAAATCACTCCCAGGTTATGTCTTCCGATGATAATTAATTGTCGGAATATTTGCATCTAGCAAAAATCTCATCCAGATCTTCTACAACCCTGGCATGATGATTAGTAATATCTGTAAATATGAAGTGAAGACCACTGGAACTAATGTCTTATCCCTTCTTCGACGATTGTAAATGACTTTTAAAAGGCTCGTTTATCTATCATCAGCGTGTAATATCCTTATGCCTATCGAAGTTATCATCAATTCTAAGCAGCATTTTATATGGTTTGGTTTCAATAAGATTTAAATAGTCGATTATAAAAGCTTAATTCTGGATTCTATTATCTGTGAACAACAATTTCCCTAACCAAATTGCTATATCCATTCCCTCTGTCAGTCCTATCCATCATTGTAAATTACACCAACGAATAACTGTCATCCGCAGAATGAGCTAAAGCAAAAATTGGAAGCTAAGAATAATTTTGCCGACAAATGATTTCCTGCAATTATCTTAGCTTGATTAAAGTCTCGGAGAATAACTGTATGTCTTGGTGACACATCTTATTGCGATAAATAAAGCAAATTGATTTTTGCATGAGTTAGAAAAACGATATACCAAAATCTGAAAAGTTGTAATTCTTGAAATGTAAGTGAAAGAATAAAAGGAGTGAGAAGAAATTCGGAATATGTTAATCCACAATGATGTTAACATTGGTCAAGTGTTTTAAAATGATTAAAGAGTTATTATCTTCTTATCTTTCCAAATATTTTGATTTTTTTCTTTCCCTTCTCTTTCTTTTTTTGGGTGGAAAATCGTGCTGGAAACCTGCCACTTTTTTCAATTTACTCATTTCAAATTCAAAAACTGTTGCAAGCATCATATCTTCTGCTTAGTTTTAAGAGCAAATTATTTGCATAGGACTTCGTCCAGTTTTTGCTGCAAAATATCATATTTCGATTTTATTGGAAATAGGAAATAAAATTTTTATCGTTATCTTAGAAAGTTTATACATCATAACTTATTTTACACACTACAATAAATTGAAGCGATGATAAGAGATATATCGAGAGAACAGTGATTTTTTCGGAATATCATAGAGGAAACTGATATTTGCATCAGTTCATTAGTCATCGTTCTTACTTCTCACACTATATTAATAAATTTCATGGAACTAGGTGATTTCAATACAACCTTCAATAAAAACCTAATAAAAAGGACTTAGATTTCAAAATTCTCTATAAATTTATAACATAGTATTCTTCCAAAATCTTCGACCCAAAAGTTTGCTTAAATGAATTCATTGAATTCAAACTCCTAAATTAAGCTTGAATTTTCCTATCGTATCCAGAAATGAATGTACTTTCATTAAATGTTTTCCTTGATGCGTCGAACCCCGGCGATTAAATTCATTATGAAATCACGGGGATCGATTACATAGGTAATTAGCAATTATTCACATGACAACATCCACAAACATAGATTGTTAATAAAAGCAATTATGTAGAATATTTGCAAAAAGATCGGTTGAAAAGTTTTTATGATATTGTCATAAAATCCACATGATGTAGTGGATCTTTTGGCAATAGATTTCTTTTACCAATTTCTTTTTTTTAATTTTAATTTTATTCAAAGTTCCTAATTTTCTATTAACTGTGGATCCTTGGAAACTTCGAGAAGGTATTATAAAACTATTTGATTAGTTCCAATTTTAAGTGACAATTTTCTGATTAGCTACAAACCTTTGGAAAGTTTGAAAACATCTTGAAAAACAATTAATAATTTTCCAATATGCTACGAATCATTGGAAACTTCGAGAAAATCTTAGAAAACCGGCAATTTTTATTGATTTCAAGTGATGATAATAACACTAAAAAAGAACAATTCAAACATTCAGCGAATTATATTCCCTCAAAATTAGTAAAATTACATTTCCTATTAATGACTGATTAAAAAATACCTCATCAAACAAATCATTGGTTGTGTTATATTCTCGTAAAAGCAAATCTATACTTTTACCATTCTCGAAGACATTACATCTATGTTATTCTACGTCGAGATATTACTTTTAAGATATGATGCTTTCTTCCCTTTTTGAAGTAAGACAGAAGGAGGAACAGTTGTATTACCAATCACAAAATGATAAGTTCTTTGGATTTGTTATTTGTTACTTCTGTGATTATTCTGCTATCTTTCAATTTTGTTATTTCCACATTTGGTATTTAATGATTTGAGGGATTTAATTATAACTTTTGTCAGTTGAAACAAAATTTTCGTTCCGAAATTTTATTGAATTAATTCAATGTGACGAAATATGTTTCAGAAAAGAAGAATGTATCAAATTGATTAAATATACTTTAAATTGAATAAGTCATTCGTTTTATAACAGTTGCCGTAAAACATTCATTTCATTTATATAAAATCACTAACAACAACCCAACAATCATATATTCTTGAATGTTTTTGTTTTCAAATTATATCGTTTTGTTAGATATTGATCCATACGTTCCGCAATTTCTGGATCCCGGAGCATTCCTTCGTCTTGGCGGGTATAATCAAATGATTCCTCTTCAAAACCGAACCAATATTTCTTCGGTTTAAACTGCCGATACAGTCTCCTGTTTCGTAAACTGATCACTTCACCTCCTTTCCCAGGAAAAGCTGTTTCACCTCCATGATAATAATGAGTATCTTCCGGATGAAAACGGAATGAATGTTCCATAATATGTAAGTTTTTTGGTAACGTTTGTTGCCGCGAACCATTTGTGCATATTTAGTAAGATTTCGGAACGGACGTCCGTAGAAGTCAATTAAATCACCAACTGTTTTCATTTGATGTAATTCGGAGTTGGGAACTACATGACACAATCTTTCACCTAACAAATCGAGAAGCTGAAATTTTAAGCGCCGATCCTTTGTAAGATCGATACTTCGTATATCATCATTTATATCAATAAGAACTTCATTCACAGCTTCCTTCACTTGACTCTCAAGATCATCTGGTGGTTTGTAATTATATCGATATTTTAAGAATCCTCTAGCTCGTATTGAATCCATATCAATTTTCTCCTCCGATGCAATATTCAAAAATTCATCATCCTCTGAATGATCCCGTCCTGTCGGTTTTGCCGGTCCTTTTGACTTGATAACTTTTGTTCGGGACGTAATCGTGACAATATATTTCGCTATCGTACATAACATACACGGGAACAATTCATCCACTTATTCCTTTTTTCTTGCCTTCATCCATGTAATAAAATTCTCAAACTTGGGTAATTAAGCTCATAGCAACATAAAAT